TTAGTAATATAGTCTATGATCTTTCAATATTGATGTACCTTTATACTGGTATCTCCATATTTTTTTAACATTAAATTGCAAGTATCATTCTGACAGCCTTGAAATTCTTGAATTGCTGTATTGTGTAATAACAATAATCCCTTCTATTTGGCAGAATACTGCTTGAGAATGGAGAAGAGGTAAGCCTAGGAATAAAATTGTAGACTTCTGGGACCAAGCAGTATGTAAAATTCCCCATGGACAGTCATCACAATTTGCCTTAATTTCTTGACTCTTCATGTTTGCTGGGGAGAGGAGGGTTTTCTTTTTTGGTTTTTTTTTTTCCCCATGAGCATATGTGCAAAAGGTAAGGTTTCAATGATTTTATTTAATGAGAAGGTGGGATGACTCTTTTGCTCTATAGAATACTTTCTTGCCATGTACACATGCCAGAAATCCTGGTGAATTTCTCCAAGGCAAWTTTTTTTTAACAGTATGAGATCAGCAAAAATCAGGCTTTGGGACCCTGGCATGGAAATACACAATGAAAATATCAGGGTATGTTGGTGAAAAGAAATCATATGGCCACATTCCTTTGCTGTTGGAAACAGATACATAGTGTAACCATGTTCTTCAGTGTTAAGATTTTAGAAAGTCTAAATTGTGAATAATATCACATCTGTGCTCCCACTGTCTTTGTTGCCAATTAGGCAACTGTAAAGATCATCCAGTAGTGAGCTGGGTTTACTGTGAAATGCAAATGATTTAACCAAAACCAGAACAGAGTAAAACTATGCATGCAAAATACACTTCTCAGTGATAAAAAAGAAAGAAAAATCAGATCATGAGTAGACAACATGCTTGAGAGAAAGAAAAAGATGCATGCTGTGACTAAAGATCCAAGGCATGCTCATGACTCTTAAATCAGCATGCACAGCCCCAAGCTGAGGTGCCATGCAGAAAGACAGACATACAACAATCCTATTTCAGTAGCTGCAAAACAAAAAAGGTATTTCATCAGAACAGCTCCTTGATCTGCCTGARTAGTGGCTGGCAAGCATTGCAGGGAAAGGAGAGGAAGAGTGGGAAAACAGGCGTGTGGCACAGAGGGGATAAAATAGAGTTGACCCAGTTAACTTAGAGTATCATGTGCTCCATGCTAAAGAAGTGACAAATTAGTGCTGCTGAAATCTGTCCACATGGGTGATGATTTCAAACCCCCTAAGGCCAAAAAAAAATAGTTACGAAAACAAATTTTTAAAATTCTACTAAAATAGAACCCTTTCTCCTACCAATAAAAAAAATACAACTATGAATAAAAACATTAGAGATATTGCTCAGAACAAAATAGAGGAATATGAAACAATTTATCAAATACATGGAATAGATTGTATCTATATGTAAGTCAGTTGTCTTCTGCATCAAAACTGTTAAATTTGACTTCTGAAATGYCAGTAGAAAAAGAAAGATACCACTCATAACTAATGTTCTTAATAAACAAGCTTTCCACCTTAGGTTTTAATCTTTATAAGGAAAACTTTGAAAATTAACCCTGAAAGAAATGCATATTAATCCTTCATTTACAGGCAGATAAAAGGAGTACAAAGCAGTTTGGACAGAGCGATTTGTTAATGCTGAGACAGTACGGTCTTAGCTGAGAAAATGCAGTCCAGGGACAAATAAAATCAGAAAATCTATGCTTTGGAGGAAAGGAGATTCAGCAGTCCCTCTGAGAAATTGTCACTTATCACAAGCATGCTAGACAGAAGGTAAAAAATATTTTTAAGGTCCATTTCTCAACAGATAAATTCAGAAAGTAATTTTTATCCTGTATGCAGCAGGCCTCGAGTGGGCTACTTATAAATGTCTCAGTAGACCTCAACTGGTCACTGTTGCAGTTGTGATATTCATGGGAAGGACTTCTGGATTGGGGAAAAATGAATTTGTGGATAAAACTTCACTGCTATCTATTGTAAAGGGTTGAGAACCTCAAATATTTCTCTTTCATAAAAAGTGAAATAGGAGCCTTAGGAAAACCAACTGATGCTGCATGAAGCAGCTTAGCAAAAATTCTTCCTTATATGGCTTCYTTGAATTCCCTGTGTACATTTCATTCATTTTTTATTGCTAAAACTGCAGTGTCATGATGAAACTTTGAGCAAGTAAAGAACATTTCAGCTTCATTTGTTAAAATCAGCACAAGAGCATTAACTGACATCCAACAGATTGATGTGACTGACAAAATGCATTAATTGATATATTTTGAAAAGTGTATTTATTAATGAAACCTAAGGATTGGAGCTTTACTTTTATTGTTAATTATTTGAGCACTATAAAATGCCATATTAAGTGAGCCACTGCTCTATAAATTCTTGCTTAAAATTTAAATGAAAATAAAGTAATTTAGTCTTAGAAGTATTGTATACATTTTTTCATAATAAAAACATTGTAAAAATACTTTGAAAGAAAAAATGCTGAATGATATTACTATTACTGACATTATAAATCCATATGTTTTGCCTAAGGAATAAGAAATTCATTTGATGCAATCAGTCATAGAAAATCCCAATATATTTATGTGAAGGAATTTTCTATGACAAAAAAAAAGATTCTCTTTCACAAATGGCAACATCGAGATTGRTAGAAATTACTCCTTGTTTGAAAGAATTGCAATGTCAAGGTGACTGCAATTAAATTGCTCAGCTGATTTGCACACAGAACTCTTTGTCTGGGCAAAGTTCTTCGCCATAAAATATATAGACAGATAAAAGGATAAAATATACCAGATTTTAAAGTTAAATAGATAGTAGGGTTATTAAAGAGTGTTTTCCCCACATTTATCTATTCAATAAAATTAATTCCARTAATACTTCTGTTGACACAAGGATGGCATGAAATGAGAACTTTKCCTGAGAAAGGCAGTAACAAACACTAACCGAGCCCTGTTTGGTGGCACTTTCCTGAATGATTTCCATAAATCAAGGCTGATCATACCTGACCTCTACCTGCCTCCTCAGAAACACAGTCTGGATTCCTCAGCATTGCCTTTCACAGCCAGTGGGTTGACTAAAGCTTGTTTTGAAGGCAATGCTTTTTTTTTTTTTTGCCTCACACAGAAATGTATCTGGCTTCAGCACAATGACCAAATGACCATCTACAGCATAAAGCAGTTACTTTACAGGTGCAGACACAAGTGGACTTTGGGAGATGTTAAGAGTCAGTTCTTTTCCATTTCACCTACACATTGATTACTTAAGGTGCTTATGACTTATTTCCACTTTTTGGGGCCTAAATCTGTCACCCTAGTTTTTCATTCACTTGTAAGGCCATCTGATCACCCAATTTCCACTGAATGTCTTTCAGCAGTTTAACCTGTGGTTTCTTACCAGCACACTGCTATGACACAAGACAAACACTGGAAGGCAAGAATCGTGTCTTTTATCTTCTGAAATTAAAGTCACTGTAGATTTCCCTATCTCACTCTACCTCTTCATGGTTTTCCCAGTTTCCTTGTAGCTGGAAAGGTCAAAACTAAAAAGACCCAAGCCCTGCCTTCCTACAGCATGTCTGCTCTGCCTCAAGAGAGTGTCAAATGGGGCCACAGAGCCTTCTGAGTAAAAAGAGCTTTTTCACCGCTGTTTGTAAATGTCCAGGGAACTACAAAAAAGATCCTGAAGATCTCCAYTAAAGTATTTCTCATGTGATTTGTTGATGATACAGCTGTGTAAAGCCAGAGAATAGGTCATTCGCATTGATACAGGGAGTTATTTTTTAAATTAAAGCTTGACCAAAAGTCTCTGGAAGGTTTGGCTAATCATTCTTCCCCCCAAGCCTAAACCAATCCCTGTTTATAACTGGCTGTCTTTAGAAGTCCTAGAGGTGATGYACTATTTTGTTCTCGTTTAAGGGAACTCCCTACCTCTCCACGTTACTCTTTGAGAACAGGACACACAAACMCACTCCCTACAGAATCCCAAGCTTGTTCATTTTCCCTCCACAAAAATCCGTGTTGTCCCTCTCCCCTTTGTGACAGTCTCTGTTTCTCAGAAATCCTTAGGACTTTCCAGCCCTGTCCAAATCTGGGCATGTCAAGAGAGGATGTAAGCCATAGGCAGAGATAAGAAAAACCACAACTAATTCAGWGGTGTCCCAGTGGAGAGCTTGTCGAGCAAATAACAGACTAAACAAAGCTTACAAAGCTTAGTGTGTCCTTAAACAGCCTCTCCTTGAGTCTTCTCATGAATATTGTTGCTTCTCATTCCTACGATTATGTCCTCTCTACAGTATGGCGAGATTTCAGCAGGAAGAATTTTTATTAAATAAGGTCAGGGTAGACTGACTTAATATGATGAGATGATGCTCAGTCATCATCAGTAGCTCTATCTTATTTTTTTTGGTGAGAAGGGTATCTGTATTAGAACAGATTAGCATGGAGATGTGGGAAGAGAGAAGATAAAACACAGAAATGATGGATCAGCTAAGGTATTTTATATATTAAGAACAACAATGGAAGTTCTATTTTTGAAGCATTTTGGAGTTTAAGGCTTTCTATTTGTGGGGGAAAAAACCAATAAAACAAATAACAAGCTATTAATAATAAGCTCCTTCCTCTTGCATCTCAGCCAAAAGAAGCATGGAAGATTTTGGCAATTTCTAGATCCTTCCATTGACTCTACTTTCAACACACCTGATTTTAATTCATGCATTGTAGACAGAAAATCAAAAGCTTTAATAAAACAGCCATTAGCTCTTATGCTTTATTAAAACAATTGGCACACTCTTTGTTGCTCTTGTGAGACTTTTCAATAATAAAAACCACACTTAACACATAAAGGAGCAAAAACTCTCAGGGCAACAGAAGAATATTAGAACAGAGTTCAATGATGTACGAAAATACCTGGATAAAAATCCCCTTGCGCAAACATGTCAATCACATAGCGACAGAATGCATATTGATCTAACAGAGCAAAAAGGAAAAGAAGAGTAATGAAGAAAGTAAATTTAAAATGTCATTTGTATTTAACAGTGAAGATAAAGTTTGGCAATGCAAAAACACCTCAGTAGTCTTTTCATAAGTAGCYTTACATATTATTAAAATAATTGTGTTTTTTTCCTGACCTTCTAGTAGTTCACATATTACAAAACTGACAATTTGTTGTCCAGATCTCATTCAAAACCTCTAGCTAAAAACTGCAGAGCTTCCAGTGTCCCAGAATTACCAACCCTTCTGGGTTCGCTTTGTTTGGCATCTATTCTAACCTCATGCACAAGTACTGAGCAAACTGCTGCCTGGCCACAGGTCTCATAGACTTTTCCTTATCCATTAAGATCAATTTCACAGAAAACTGATTGAAAATTTTTAATTTTTTTTTCACAGTATTTTGCTAATATTATTTTAATCATATAATAAATACATACATTTATTAAACGGGAATATAAAGGGAGCTCTGTGTACTTTCACTCCTATAGCAACAAGATTTTCCACAGAATTCTATTGTTTCACTACAGATTTTCCCAACATTAACCTTTACAAATATATATGTATATATTAAACATATGTATATATATATTAAAATTTTAAAACTACACTATTCAGAAACAAAGATTTCTGAATCTAAATGAAACTGATTTCAGAAGTGTTGATTGTCTATTAATTTCTCCTATACATAAACAAAGCTGGAGACCTTAATAAAAATTTCTAACATTAAGAATGGTTAGAAAATAAAAAGAAAAATTAGAAAAGTTATCAGTTGTAACTGAGTTGAAATTAAATATTTCAGTTTGTCAGAAGAAACAGCATGTTGCCTCAAYGGACTCTAAGGGGCATTAGTTTTGAAAGCTAATGTTGATGTCTAAATGCCAGCTCTGGTTCAGTTAAGTTGGSTCTCAATTGTCCTTGAGTGAAGCATATTCATCCATCTGTCCAAGACTCTCCTAGCACAGCTCCCACACTGAAGAAGTTACGTCTCTTCCTCTCTCCACCCCCCGCTGCAACTCTGTCCTACTCACTTACAAAACCACTTACTTTTTCCTTTGTTAACTGCAAAATAAAATTATGCTGGCTTYGGAATAATTAAAGTTTTTTAAATGGCATTGTTGTTACATTTAAATGCAAAATGCCATGTAACACTCCTTACGTAATTTACTCTCATACAGAGTTCATTGATACACGTGCATCAGTTGATGCTGAGGCATTTGTGTGATCGCTGCTCTGTTGACAGCTACAGCAGTCCTTGGATGGAGAACTGCAGCTTTCAAGTCATTAWTTCAGATGCAGAAATTAGGAAAAGGTTTATCAGCTCAACAAATACCCAAGCACAATTTTCTAGCTGATAGAAGAAGCCCAGGCAGCTATTTTGTGTTAGATGGTCAGGGTAATACTACTCAGTATTGCAGAGCCTGGAGCAAATCTTTGAGCATGTTCACAGGGCTGTGGCTGTAAACWTTGCCTTTAAAACTTCTAATGCATATTCATAACAAATTTAGCTTTCATATGTAGGAATTAAAATTTATCATTCTGGCTGACTCCAACTTTGCATTCCGTCCTTGAGGCTACAATATCTGCCCTAACACTATATGATAATTTAAAAAAAAAAAAAAAGTAGCAATGTGTGTGTGAGAAAACAAGTTTGTACAGATCTGTATTCTTAAGCCCATCTAAAGCCACTGAAGCCAGTAAAATGTTTTCACTGACTTGACAAGTTACAGTAGGGCCTCAGTGAGTATCAATAAATAAAATGGAGCAATGCCACTTCTTTAGCCAACAAAGTAAATCGCAAGGCATAGTTCTTGCCCCAAAAGCTGTTTTCCTACTTTGCTTTGGCCAAAACAAGATGTCTTCATCCTTGCTAGGTGTTGGGAAGATCCCCTGCACCATTTGGGGCATTACAAAAAAGGCTGCTACATGAAATGGGACAATACACCATATGGAGAACCACAGGGCAGAGAACAAGCCCGTGCTGGTTCTATTTGAGTTTTGATATAGACATAGCCTGAGGYCCGTGATATTAAAACTATCCATTCTTTAAACACAGTAATACGGACCAGGAATAAAACAGACAGTGTTGTTGATTTTTTTCCTTTTTCTTGTTGTTGCTGTGGAGGGTTTTGTGGGTTTATTTTATTTTGCTTTGTGGAAATGCAATTTTAATAAACTTTTTWAAAAAATTGATCTTGATTGTACCTTAGAAAAAATATTTTGTATTAATTTTCTCCTCATAACATTTCTTTAGCAACTCAACTAAAAAACCTGGGATTTATAAAACAAATTGAAGGCAGAATGTGAAACTGAATAACAAAAATATCACTTTTATATGACACAGCAAGGTGCACTATAACATCCTATTTAAGTTTATAGGAATGTTACCAATCAGTTAAGATTCAAATCTAAGGAATTTMAAATTAATATGATTCTTCAACTTTCTGTTCATGGCTAAAAATCCATTTTAATTTAAATTCCCTTATTAAAAGGAGAATTTCATATTTTAGTTTTCACCCATAGGTCTGTAATGGTGGCACAAGTATTCATATACGTACTAATAAATCACGTCAAAGTTTGGGAGAAGATTCTTAGTGATAAAAATACTCACAGTTGTGTCTATCATTGGACTTCATGTGATTTACCCAGGGAAATGTCCTATCTTTTTTAATTTTAATTTTGTACTAAATGATTCAACAGCAGGGAAATCACAACTTTTCTGTGATCACTGCTCTGTTTTTTATGTTGTTTCTGATAAATGGGCAGAACTACTCCCTTGAGCAACTAAAGATTGCAGGATCAGGAAATCTCAGCAAAACTGCATTGACTTTAAAATTACGATCACCTTGGGTCACAGTGGGACTAAAACATAAAAATGGAATTTTTTAGAGTATCCAGCTGGGCAGCATGGCTTATGGTGGGAAAAGGAAGTTGGACAGTAGGAAATGCAGCTTTCATTGGATGTGTGTAGCCCGATCTCCCATGATAAAAGCAGTTGAAGAGGYTCCTTCCTTCCTCCACTCCAGCTGTTTATTCTCATGTTCACCTGCTGGGATTCCATGCACATTCACTGGGGTCACACTCTAAAGCAGACTTACAAAGTGATCTGTTAATATTTGATATCAAGATRGACAATTTTGCTAATATTTATGAGCTAAAGATGGTGGTGGGAATCCCACAAAAACCAAACCAACGAACAAAACCCCACTACTATTCTACTGGTCTCTATSATATTTGATCTCTACTTAAAATATTTTGTTGTCAGGGAATAAGGTGCCTCATCTGMACACCATTTATTTTTGGGAGCTTTATCCTGAGCAGTGTGGAGTGGATCCCACTGTGCATTGAAACTCTGCCAGAGCAAACATAAAAATGAGAGATTTTCACCTCMCAAGCAAACTAAAAAATTTGCTGCACTTTCTTCTTGGTCACAGCAATCAGAGTGATAGATATTGCTTTGATTTCATGCCTCAAAGGTCCCAATATTTCAAGCGAAAGACAAAAGTAACTAGAATACAAATAAATGTTAAATAAAAAATACTAGTTCAGCACACTGTGCACGTCAGAAAGTGGGCTATGTCCGAAACTCTCTCAGTTTTCTAGAAAAGTACAGTTTAAGCAAATCCTAAGGGGTCCAGAGCGATCATTATGAAAGCCTGAGAGAATCTGCTCGGGCAGATTCAGATATCCAGGCAGGGATGGCTTCTTTGATGTTCAGGCACAACGATTTACCTGTGGTTAACAGCTGAAAGGATCAGATAGGTGCGTTATGTAACGCTGAGCTGCCTCTTTCACTGTCAGAATAATCCCRTGGCTGCAGTGTGACAGTTCATACAGAAAGCCAGGCCCTGCTGCCTTCATTCATACAAAATTGTACTTAGTGCCATGGAAGTGCCACAGGGAAATCAGGGAGCCAGCCTGTGCTGCCTGGGAGTAGAAGAGCCCAGGCTTACTCTGACAAAGGGGAGCATACGGCTAACAGCTTGTTAACTATATAGTGTTGATGCATGTTGATTCTCTGTTTTATCACTTAATTTCTTTTCACCAGAGTAATAACATTTCTTTCTTTTCTAGGAAAAATTTGGAAGCTGTTCATAGTAAATTACCTCAGGCAGGTCTGCCACTATGTCATACAATACCTGACAACCTGACAGTGTCTCAAACAATATGATGTTAGATAAATTATTACATTCCCTTTTCTCTGTTGCTATTTTCCTTATGGTTACAGAGGACATATGCAGATGCAGAAATAAACCAAAATTCCCAGAAGGTCACTGGACAGTCTGTATTTTCAAAAGTAACTCTGCTAGGAGTCTACTACATTAGATGCCACTGAACAAATCCATGAAGCCTCAGACCTATCTCAAGAGAATTKGCCCTTGGATTTAAATTAAAATGAATCTTTAGCCATGACAAACTTCTAGCAMCTTTTGATTACATACATTAAAATTATTTTATTTTCTATAATCTTGACCTAGCAGTGTGAAGTTCACGTGGAATTTATTTGCACTGCACTTTCGTTTTCATGGGTGGATTTTGGTCCTTGACAGTTTTAACTCCATTCTCCCTCTATGTTMCCTACTACCTTTTTAGGATCTTCATCTGTTTCCTCCTCATTTTGTTTACCTTTCTTGTCCGATTTTGTTACAGTCTGAAGAGCTTTCTCCTCCTTAACTTTCGTTTTGGCTTTTATTAGCCCAGTTTCTGYTGTTTTAGTCTCTGCCTGCTTGACCTTCTCTGCCGTCTTTGYTTCTCCTTTTCCATCCTTCACTTCCTTTTTAACTTTTGTTTCCACTTTAGTGCTCTTTACTTTCTTCTCCTCTGCAGATAAAGAAAATAATAAAGGAAAAGCTTTCAGTGCCATTCTTTCCCCCCAACTCAGTGCCATTTATTTTATTATGTGCTACTACTAATGAGCATTTCTTCATTATTAACAACTGATGAAAACTATAATCACTTCAAACCAGGCAGAATGAAACAGAAATATGGGATMCAAACAGGTTTTGTCTTCAGTCCTATACCACGTACTTGACTGATACTAAATATACTAGAATTACCAAATAATATTAAGTTTCTAACGACAATATGATAGTTTTTATGGTATAAACTAGGGAGACAAATGTTGGTCATTAATMAAACAAATATGGGAGGTACTTCCAGGTAAAGTCTGAGCAAGTGTAGACTTCAGATATCAGAGTTAAACTCTGTTGCAAGATGGAAAAATGGTGTGTGGCTATTTTTAAGGGTGGCTTTCATGCACTGATTCTAGGTCTCAGACCAAGAAGTTTCGAGTATTTGAGTCTGACTCTACACCAGTTCTCTGRGCTGAAAGTGTGTGAGACCAATTTATGTGAAGCCCTTCATCAGAGTGAGAAAGCTTTCAAGAAGAGCTACCAAATTCTAAATACTAAATATCGGCAACTGAAGCTGCACAGAGCTTGGTGAGACCTGAGTGTTCTTTCCACTTTTATGTTAGCAACTTTTTCTCACCTGAGCCATGGATGTTCACAATATGTGTATTTCTATATCACTCCATTGGAAAATCCAAYAGTAGTATAAACTTCCACTGGACAYGTYTTAAACTAATCTGTTTAGTGTGCTGTTCATACTTCTGTTTTCTTCATAGATCTAAATGTCTCCATCCTTGAGGCAAAACTTGTAAGATACAAAATTTATGTTTTCTGTAAAGCTCTAGACTTGYATTTTTATTAAGTCACTGAGCTCACTAAACTGATTTTATCAATATGTAAACTGAAATATCTAACTATTGCAAACCAGAATTCATATATTTATACAAGAACATGACTACTCTCCCTAAAAAAAAAACCCAATGGCATGACCAGGTATTGGTCTAGTGGAGAATTAATCTCCGTAACTAGTTATTGTGAAAATGTTTGTCAGATCATTTGCAGGTAGGCTTGCTTTTCAGTGAAATGGTGATTCATAATTTTATTGTTATCTCTAAAAGTTCAGCAGATTTTGAAAGGGATCAAACATAGAATTATCCCCTGGATGTTCCACAGACATTTTAGTTCTAATTATATATTCATTTCATTTTAATTAACTGTAGCTGGCTTTTCATGAAAATTAACAATCTCTAAAGAAAATAAACTTTATGCATTTCAATGTCAATTCAGTTTAAAAATGTAGTACAGATAAATAAATACCTTTGGGAGGAGGTTTCTTTTCAGCTTTTTCATGTCTTTCAGGTACATCCTTTTGAGTTACTAGAAATGAGAACAATTGTATATTAGGAAAAAATCTAACAAAGAACAAGAAAATATTTCCAAAACAAAACATCACCACTAGAAATTTCACATTTMCTTAAAATCCCTATTTATCAGTTTCCAAAATTCTTTTTCACAGATTTTGCAGAATGGGGTAAAAAATTTCAAAATGTCTTTTGAGGCTCCCTTTCCAGAAGACAAGTGAGTCACACAGAGCTGGAGCTTTCTAGGGAATGTCTTTACTGCATATTCCAGACGACACAACCTTGCTCACATCAAGTTCTKAGCAGACACAGGCTTGGCCTTGTGCTCTGACCAACAGGAAGCCATGTGGCTCTRTTTGTCTCTCAGAAAGGTGTTTTTCTTAGCTTGGGCTCATTGTCTACAAACACAGCTGTGAGTCTGCTGCTCACTTCAGAGCCCAGCTCGAGTGAGTTCATGTCTACACAAGATATATTGTGTAAACACACACAGGACTGTGTTTCAGAAAGGCTGTTAAAATTTTGTGCAGAACTCTGTCTCTCCCCTCTTGGTCACCAACCAGATTGCCAAAACAAGCCAGCCTTGAGAGTTAATACCCTTCTTTCAACTGATAACTACATAATTGCAACTGAATTCCATCCTGAAATTCCAGCCTGTATGAGCCATGACTGATATTTAGACTTGTTTTAACATTTTTTTAGATAGTGGTTTTTAGATGATGTGTTTAAAAAACATTCATACCACTGAGGCTTTCTGGAGCCTRAAGAATTACCTTGAGTGTTTGTGATGAGCACAGACAAAGCCTGCATGGAAAGTAACCAYRCAATTTTCAGTGCGTCCATTCCCTRAAGYTGGGCCTGAACATTCTCATTTCCTRKGGAATGCAACTGGTTGAAATATCCCCTCAGCACTGCTGGAGGCTAATCCAGTTTAGAGCAGACCCYGAGAAAAGAGAGATGGGCCTGGCAGTGGAAAGCTCAGCAGCACGGTGCTGGCAGAATGGCACCTTTGGACATGCAGGGGACAAGTGTTCTGGAGGACAAGCCCTCCCATAGGGTCTCATGGCAGGGAAACCACCCAAGAGAGGGCAGCATGGCTGTGTCCCCCTGCAGCTGCAAATCTCTGCAGCTACAGTGTCCAAATTCTTCATAAAATTTTCCAGTCAGTGACTGGAGTCATGGCTGCTATTAAACACATTAAGGCTCTAAGTGATTATTTGGTTAGCTAGCAGAAGATAAATGGGCAAACAGGCTGGCTGCTCATTAGGACTATCTCAGTGATTCTTGGAAGTTATTTGCTTTTCAAATCAACACAGACACTGTGGGCATTTATTTTCTCTGGATTACTCCAGCATGATTTCATTTTGTGAAAAAAAATCCCACACTTCCAAGCTATACACTGAAAGAAGGATGGAAAAATATCCCCTTAAAAGACAGAATAGACAGTGGCCACCTTTCAGCTTTTTAAGGCCTTAAGTCTTCATTTTCCTTCCTTCCTTCCTTCCTTCCTTCCTTCCTTCCTTCCTTCCTTCCTTCCTTCCTTCCTTCCTTCCTTCCTTCCTTCCTTTCTGTTTTCCATTTCTCCTTAGAGTACGGTCAAGTCCAAAAAAGGGTGATTTGTACATTTGTATCTATGTTGTCTGAACATATTCAAATTAAACCTAATTAAATCATGCATCTCAACATCAAGAGATGAATCTCAAYGCCATAAGAAACTGATACTGAGACACATTAGTATTTTTTTCAAGTTTCATTAGTAGTTTTTTCAATAAAAAGARACAAAGACTGAAATTGAGCATCATAATAGAAATATCTGCCTCAGGGAAGTATCTAACTTCCAAGAAAAACATTCAAATGCCCAGCTACAATAAATGTTGGTCTATAAAAAATGACTTAATAGGGCAAGGTGATTGAATTTTTAAATCTCCCTGTCCAAATCATAGCCAAAGATGGAATTTTCAGTCAAAAGAATAGTGAAAATCACCCCTCACGTTCTGATACTGAATGCATATGATAATTATTAGATATTTAAATCTTAAACAAAGCCACTTCTGCCAAGGAGGACAGTGCAAATCATATACTGAAATTAAAATGTTATTGAAAAAATAAAGGCAAGAAAATTGAATTCTATTTTTGGGTATGATGGAAGACCCAGACTGAGAGACAATAAACACTCTTACACTGGGTCTGCATCAGGCTGAAAAACTAATACACAAGAGAAAACCTCCTTTTCAGGCAAATTACTGAATCCCTTTGTGGAGGAAAAAGCAACAAGGGATGCAAATAAAATAGTCATAGGCTTAGTTCTTTAGCTGTGTAAGAATGATTTATAATAAACTGTGCACCAAAGCAAGGGACTAAAGCAAAAAAAACATGTTGAGCAAGACTTCATTCAGGGTCTGATCAAGGCCTGCTCAAGCAAAAGTGAGAACACCCAAAAAATGTATGGCATGAACTCGAAGAGCTTCGTATTTTAAATACTTAACACTTTCCCAAACTATATTAGCACTTAAATGGTACACATTTTTACGATGATCCACATTACCTCTAGAAGATSCTTTCTTTTCTTGTTTTTCTGGCTTTTCAGGTTTMTCTYTCTGAGTAGCTAGRAATAAAACCAATAATCTTAAYGGTCAYAAAAAGACAAAAAAGAAATGTTKCATTTAAGTGAGAAAGWGGAGAAAAAGGATYAAGAAACAAAAGTAGGCACCATGGTTATCCATGCAAAGAATGAGAAAGATTAAATCAGYTGCTGCTGGTTGTTGTTGATGCCAAAACATGGGATTGGAACTTTCAAAAACTCATCTGTCCATCCCTGAAGCCTCTGCCATTGGCTGGAGGAGCAGCGGCCTTTCCAGCTCAGCTGTAATCTCATGAAAGAAGGTAGTCAAGAAGAGTTATACTTATGTTTTATTGTTTACTGGTTATTTTCAAAAAATGTATTTATATGCTGTAATTTATTCGTTTATTTTGGTTTATTGTTCTTTTTTAGTTTTCTTGTTTAGTACTTTGGTTAATTTCTGAAGGATTTTCTGAACTCCACAGCACAACTAACAGTTTTTCCAGCTATGAATGATTAAGCACTATAATTAATTACAAATCTAATTGCAATGACATTATAACKAATGCTCTTTGGGGCTTTTTGTTTGCTTTTAATTTCCACTTTACAAATTGAAATTAACTACTCTGCAGTTACTAAATTTCTGGGTCAGGTTTCAGAATACACCYGAGTTGTGCAATAGTCACTGAGTGGTGGATAGTCTGGAATAGTCTCCTGTGTGGAGTCAGATTTGCTAATTTTTGATAGTTAATGTTTGTACAGTAACCTGTCCATGGATGTGCAGACCTGATATGTGCATGTGCTGCTATGCCTTGAGGTGGCCAACAGGGACCATGAGTGTGTAAACACACAGTTCCCTGTTTGACTCTGGCATATGAGGTTATCTTAGGAACACAAACATGCATTGAGTTGGTGCTTAAAAATAAAGTAAGAACTGGGAAAGTAAACTATGTTATCTATTTATTGAAAGCAACTATTGAAAGAATTAGTGCTGGCCTACTCAGGGGCTTTGCAATGGTCCTATGTGGTATTGGTTTTTAAATGCTTTTTTTTTCCTCATGGTCTGCCTGATTATCTGTGTTTATAGGCTGTCAGGTGCTTTTTTCTTGGATGACCATAGTCTCTTAGCAACCATTTTTATTGCAAGTGTTGGAAAAATTTAGTGATTATCATGAGATTATACTAATCCGGAGTACAAAATATATTATCTCCCTTCCTCAAAGAAAAAAAACATCAAAAAAAACCCAAACAACAACAACAACAACAAAAAAAAAATGCAGAAAGAATACAAAATGCTACTTACTGTGTAATTCTGCAAAATCTTAATTGATATAATTATTTTTATTCATAATATTTTGTAACTGTTTTCCAATCAAGGGGACACGTAAATGAAAATTGAGTGGAGAATTAGTTTTCTGGGGTACTTCCAAATGTAAACTAAATTCTGGCATTAAATAATTACCTGCATGCCTTTCCTTTTTTTCAGGTTTTTCTTGTCTTTCCGGTTTGTCTTTATG